AAAACTGATGAGATCATAAAACATAAAATCACAGGTAGAGAAAGTACACAAGAATAATGTATACAAATCTCACACATGAGCAAGGATTTTTAAAAATTCTAGATAGGCTCGAATTGCATACAGTTTATATAGAAGGTCATTATCATTGTTATATCATGATCATGTTGGACCTATTTCAATAATTCAAAGGTGGTCTTATATTAGAAACTGTCTCTATGTAATTCACAGCATTAATAGATTCAAGGAGAAAAAAATGCTATCACCTCCATAAAGGTCAAAAAGCTGTTCATAGAGGTTGGCATCTCCTTATGATAAATTTTCTTAGTAACTTAGAAATAGGAAGGTAAATTCTGAAGCTAAACTAAACTAACAGTAAGGAATATTCTTAACAAAACATTAAGTAAATTTCCATTAAAATAAGAAATAAGACAATAACAATTACTTCTTTTCAACTATTCATAGACTTTTGATTCACTACACAGAATAATCTAAAGAATCTTCACCTGAAGATATGTTTTAGAGAGAGTAGAGAAGGGGAGTTAAGGAGAGAGAAAGAGGGAGAGAGAGAGAGGAGAGAGAGAGAGAGAGAGAGAGAGAGAGAGAGAGAGAGAGAGAGAGAGAGAGAAAGAAAGAGAGAGGCATGAATTCCTGCATGGGTGGGATCTGGACAGCCTGACTATGGGGAGGGGACATGGGCGGTTGGCAGGCCTGCCTGCTGCTCAAACTTCTGGTCGAGGGGACAATTTGCATATTAGCCTTTTATTATATAGGATATACACTGATACGCCAGATTATTATGCATTCAGAGAACATAATAATCTGTACACACAGTGTATAAATTAGGATGAATCAAATTTTAAATAATAAAATTTCAAGGCTCTTTGATTTTATTATTTTCTCATAAATTTGAGCTTTAATTCAATATTTATTTTTTGGTTATTATTTGACAGTCTTCCTAATTCAGTTGCAGAGAAAGTTTATAATTTATAATGCTTATAAAGAATCTAATTATTTGAATTGGATAATCATGTTTTAATATAAAATAGAATGCATACTATAATTCCAATTTGATAAATAGAAATATCTCTATAAAACATATAACTAGTATATATTACATCAGAGCGAAGTGAAATTTCAAATCTCATTCTCTGACCTCTCTAGCAGGAGAGCAAGAAGTCCAGCCTTTCTTGGGAACCTCCTCTCCAGTTAGTTCTTTTAGGAGTCCCATTGTGGTGATTGTGGGATGGAGAGACAAGGGAAACCCCCACTTAACAGAAGATATGGTTTCCCACTGTCCATTGTCAGTAGGTTGCTTCCCATTTTGCTGTATGTTGATGAACTCTAAACTGTACACAGATCCCACTGCAGTCTGCTGTTTGTCTCCTCTAGGCTCAGCTCTTTTCTTTTTCTGCCTTGCAGAAGACTTTCTTACTTTGCTTCTTAGGACCGACTCTTTTGAAGGTTGCTGAGGGTTCTAAGTGACACTTTCCTTCATACTATGGTCCTCCCCTTTCCAGTGCAGGGAGGGGGACAGTGAGTTAGTGAGACAGGCTGGGAGCTAAGAAGCTGGGGCTGAATTAGAAGGATGGTCAGTAGGGCTTCACACTGGTTCTGGATCACTTCCTGATGCCATCACCCTCCAGGCTCTGCTGCTCAGTCTGCTCTATATTCTTCTCACCCGTGGCAATTTGCTTTTCAGGGCTCCATTATTTCTTCCACCAGTTCAGGACAATAGGGACTCAGTTCATTGGATAGAGCTCTATACCTGAAATCTACACCTACCATTGGGTTTCTGAGCCTTGTAACAATGACTGGATCTGTTTTAGTGGCCCTGACCATTCTATGACTCTGGGAAGATCTGGATCATTATATGATAGTACACAGAGTATTTTAAGGATTGATGTGATCTAATTACCTTCCACTCTGAAATCAATAAAAAATATATATAAAAACCCCCACCTAAACATTAATAACCTATTATGTCCCTAGAAGTTTGCCCAGGATTTTTTGGTGGTTACTGATGTTAGAAACATAAAATAATACCTTATGTCTAGAATTTTTCATTATAACAAGAGCATCCATAAATAGATATTTCAACTTCGAATCTCATTTGGGATATTTATATTGATTCTTAAGCAAGTAAATTTTTGTTATTCTTATTAGGCTTTCACATTCTAAGGTTTTTAAAAGTTACTTATTGTAATTTTCTCTCCATATCTGTCTCATTACCATGCCACACAAATGAATCATCTAACAGTAATCTCCTGGGTGTCAACATCTAGCTGTAGAATAGAATTTAATCCCCTTTCTTTCATATTACATTATATCCAGAGGCCTCTTATCATAGATAATTCTCTTATTTTTTCATTAAAGGTTGTATTGTCAGAGAAATAATAGTCCCACACATATGATTAATAAAACCAGACATTTGATTAAAAGTGAATAACATTAGGAATATGAAGTTCCATAATTATACTTCCCATACTACTCCAAATAACTGTGTATTATAACATTAAGTGCTCTGGGGTAACTGAAAAAAAAATTAAGAGTCTTCTTTGTGACCATTAGGGAATATTGGAAGTTGAAAAGTAAAAAATAAATGTTTCTGCTAGGATGATTTCTTAGATACCATAAAGCATGTTAAAAAATATTTATTTTAAATTTACTTTTAATAAGTGTATTTTCAAAAAATATATATATATGCTATTCATTTTTGTTTCCAAATATCTCTCTAGATAAAAGCCTAATATGCAAAATGTCCCTTGGGAGTTTGACCTATTAGGAGTTCACTCGCTTGCTATGACCCGCGCTGGCCACCTGGGGACAGTGCGGGACAAAGGAGGGCCCTGGCTGGCAGCCAGCAGCTAGGGACCTTACCCATGCAGGAAGTTTTGTGCATTGGGCCTTAGTTTATAATAAAACATTGATTCACAAACTATACAAATGAAAGGCTTGCAAAATGATATACCTGATGAAATTATAATTCACTGAAACACATAATAAATGTTTATTATAGAATATTGTGCATGAAATTCTCTCAAAAAGCCTACAAAAGAGATGAGAGTGAGATCCTTGCTTTAGTAAAGAGGATTTTGATGAGAGAGAGTGAGATACAAAGCCAAAGGAGCCCACCTAGCCGGAGATGGCGTTGAGAGTCAAATCTCAGTTGTCATGATCCACTGTCTATGGTTTTTCAACTACTAGGCCAAGCTACATCTCTTCATAAAAGTGTGGGCAGATCCTAGCTTCCTAAGGACTAATTTTAAAGCTACCAGTATTAACTAGTTTTGTCACTGTTATTGACCATCCAGGCTACCCTATAACAATGTGGAGTGCCTGCAAAGCAGGGCAAACTTGACAGTGAGATGTAGCAGGCAGAGGAAGACTCTGAACTTATTTGTCCTTGGCCTCTCTCAGGTTGCACATCATGTGTACACTTAGAGTCTATGTATACTGGCTCTGGGGCTGCTATAGGAACTATGGTTGTTGAAGAACCCTCACAACAGAAACCAGATGAACTGCCAAGCCTGATGCTGGAAGGAAGATAAAGCAGAGATTCATGTATCTATAGCCAATGAGAGCTCAGTGGTGGCAGGTCCAGCAAGAGGGAGACGGCCACTGCTCCCAGGGAATATTGCCTGAGCCCAGAGAAGTGACGACAGGTTTGGAGCCACAAATTTAACACAGGAGGCAGGCCCAGCTGCAGACAGCAGCCCAGAGCATGTGCTGCCAGCGTGCTTCTGAAAACCAGCCCGAGGCCAGGATAGTCCCTTTCCCCAAGTCAGAAAGACGGGAAGCCTCCTTTCTACATATCCAATCCATCTTATGGAGAAAAGTAGGGAAGGCGAGAGGATACACGAGAGACAGAAATTTTATGCCAAGAACATGAGCACAATGTAGAGGAACCATGTAACCTTTAAAGAAGGTTAAACTTTTAATCACACAAGAGTGAAAGTACTTTTTTTCGCCTTCCATAAACAGCTAATCGAATGTGGGCTAATGATCAGGTTAGTTATGGTTATAGTAGAAAATTTTTTTAAATTTTTTTGCATATTCAACATGCAGTGTAATTTACACCGACACCCCATGTACATGAGCATTTACTGAGAATCACGTTTTCCAGGTCCGGTACCTGCATTATCTCATTGAATCCTCACACAAGCCTTGTAAGGGAGGAACCATCATCATCTCCACTTTATAGAAGAGGAAGGTGAGGCTTAGAGAGGTTCAGTAATTCACACATGGTCACATCGCTAGCAACATAGCTGGGAAAGGAAAGCTGATTCCTTAACTGTCTTAACTTATAAATAATTAAATCCATTTTATTATGAATTGGATTTTTGATGTTTGAAGATGTTCAAGTGGAAGACTTTCTGACATAGAAAGCTGGTGTGCTTGCAAAGGAGTATTTGCTTTCTAATTTGCATTTGAGACTTTAGTCTTCAGACACATTTTAAAGGACACCTAAGCCTGAAAGGAGAAATCAGAATTCTGTCCTATTTGATTGTAGTGAGGTTGTAACATGTGTCCACTAGGAAGATACTTCCAGTACAATTAGAAATAGAAGACAATTGACGTTTCCTCTCCACCAAGCAGCCTCCAAGGCAGGAGTTTTCAAGGTTTAGATTCCTAGTCAAGCCATGTAAGTCGGTGACTCCTTTGAGCTCATTTCCATAAAGTTACCATGGCGACATGTTAAAGTGGGATAAAATGAGATAACCTCTGTCATACCCTAGACATGGTGCCTGCCACATAGCTGATGCTCAAAACTGTCAAACTGCATCTGCTTATCCCCCTTGTTGCAGTGAATCCTAGTGTTATCCAGTTCTCTGTGGCTTGCTATAGAGTCAAGCAATTATTTCAATCCCCAGATTTTATTTTGTTTCTATATTCAGCAAATGCAAATGTACACTTGCTGACTTGATACCTGGGGCTACAAGGACAAAGAAAAAAAATCTCCTGGGGTGTATTTATCAAGTTTAGAAAATGCATTCGCTTACCAGCTCACTGAATTCGTTATTTCCTAGGTCAAGTCTTTCCAGCTGGGCCAGTTTGTGCATTGACCTGTAACAGATGGAGAAAAATACCATTGTGAGGCAAAGCGTGACACATTACTCGAAGAAACACCTCACCCACCTTCCTGTTAGATTTACCTGTTTGTACAGTGCACAGCAGCAGGGGTGCTTTCCAGCAAGAACTAAACTGCAAATAACAGTAACCTATGCAAACTGCCACCTGAAAACCTTTAGTAGTTTACCACGTTCCCAAATGCCAGGCTAGTTAGAGTACAGGGTTGGCTGCTTTATAAAAACCTGGGGAGCTTGTTAAGCATCTACACCAGTAGGAGGTATGGTTTTGAACAACTATATTTTTAAGCCACCACAGGTTTGGGAACCAATGATAGCCCAATTCCTAGCAGAGCATTCTAAAACGCCACAATATAGACACAATAGCACCATCAATTTTGTCATTTTCTACTTCCCTCCATGAACTTTGGCTATAGACAAACGTTATATTCACTGTCTCCTAAACATATTGGCTTGGATGCTCTGAATAACTGCAGAACCTTGGGGCAAAAGATGCTATTAACGATTAGCGATACCTTAGCACATGCTATACGCATCAGCATATCTCAAGCCACTCTCAAGTAGAACATGCAACATAAGAAAAGATAGTTTATTTGAGTGCCAAATTTTTACCTCTCCACTGACCAGAATGCTGCCCTTATATAAGCTGATTATACAGAAATTCTGGGGATATCATTGACTCAAATCTTAGAAAATTTAGAGCCTTCATTTTTAGAATGAATACAGCAATTTTTTACAGGGCTTTTATGAGCATTAAAATATTAAATGAAATATTAGTATAATCCAGACACTGCTGAGCACTCCAAAATGCAAAACTGTGTGTACCCTTTATTCACTCAGCAACTGTTTTTGAAAGATCATGCACCAGACAATCTTCTGAGGTCTGGTTACAGCAGCGAATAAACAAGACAAAGACTCCTGCCCAAAAGGACTTTATTTTACAGTGGTGGTGGTATGTGTGTATGTGTGGGGAAAGAAGGATTACAATTAATATTAAGTAAAATAAAATAATATACTAGAAGGTTATAAATGCTATGGAGAAACTCAAGTAGTTGAGGTACACAGGAAGAATTTACATGGAGGATTGCAATTTTTAAAAGAGGGGTCAGGTAAGGTCTTACTCAAAAGGACAAAATTTGAGCTGAGGCTTAAAAGAAATGAAGGAGCATGCCAGTGCGTCAACTCTAAAGCAGGGACATGTTACTTGCTTGAAGACATTCCAGGAGAGTAGTATGGCTGAGGCAGAGGGAGGGAGAGGGAGAGAAAAGAGATGATAATGAGGAGGTAGATAAAAAGGGCGTCTTAACAGCCCAATAGAGACATTGGCTTTGATTCTGAGTAAGATGGAGGGTCATTGAAAGGTTTTGATCAAAGGTAGGACTGAAGTGACTCTTTAAAAGATAATAGCATATTCAGGAAACAGCAGGTTAGTAACTATAGTAAAAAATAGCAAAAAACGAGGCAAATAATAAGAAATCAGGAATAATATGTAGGAAGGGGCCATGAGGTCATACATATCAGGTCAAGGAATTTGAGTTTTAGTTTAAAGGCAATAAAACTTTAAAATTTAGATAGGGAAAACTTATCAGACTTGTATTTTATAAAGCTCACTCCAGGAGCTTGGAATGGTGTGGATAATGGGGAGAGGATGTGCTAGCAGAGGCTAAATAAAAAATGGCCCTGAAAACCATGTGGTAATAACTGATTGGATGTGGGAGGTAAAAAAGAGGAAAAATTAAAGATAATTTCTTTAAAAATATATATTTTATTGGTATTTTTACTGAGAGGAATAGAGAGGGATAGAGAGTTAGAAACATCGATGAGAGAGAAACATTGATCAGTTGCCTCCTGCACACCCCCTACTGGGGATGTGCCCGCAACCAATGCACATGCCCTTGACCAGAATTGAACCTGGGACCCTTCAGTCTACAGGCCAATGCTCTATCCACTGAGCAAAACTGGTTAGGGCTAAAGATAATTTCTTGATTGAGTAGCAGTTATAGGAATATTGGAATGGAGTGGATCTAAGGTGGAGATAGGTTGGATGTAATGAATGCTATTTAAAATACTATAGTGACTTTAAAGTGAATGCGAGAGACCTTTATTAGGGAAAATGTGTATGTGTGTGTGTGCCTGTTTGAGAAAAAGAGGAAGGGTGGGCATTAGGGAGAGAAGAAGAAGAAGAAGAAGAAGAAGAAGAAGAAGAAGAAGAAGAAGAGGAGGAGGAGGAGGAGGAGGAGGAGGAGGAGGAGGAGGAGGAGGAGGAGGAAGAAGAAGAAGAAGAAGAAGAAGAAGAAGAAGAGAGAGAGAGAGAGAGAGAGAGAGAGAGAGAGAGAGAGAGAGAGAGAGAGAGAGAGAGAGGAGAGAGAGAGAGAGAGAGAGAGAGAGAGAGAGAGAGAGGAGGGAGAAAGCTCAGATAAAAGTTTAGACTGGAAATAAATATTTTAAAAATAAGTGGAATATTTCTTGTCTACCTAAAATTTGTATCTCCTTTTTTAATACACATACCATTTGCTTTCTTTTCCAGGGTTTATTTGGTATTTATCACTTAATTTCTTGAATTATTAATTTTTTCATGTATAGTACATGCCTCCTTTCTCTACCAGATCTTAAAATACATTTTAAAATGCTCATAAGGACTGCCATCCATTCAGCCACCCAGCATTCCAAAGGTTGTGCAACCTTGTCGGCAACATCTAAGAAAACATCTGCCTCGCCTCCTGCCAAATCTATGCCATGAATAGATGCATCTAATGGGAAAAGTGGCTGGGCCACATGAAGAGAAAATTACATTTTCTTCTGAGCCTGAAAACATTAAAGAATGGTAAATTCTTGCAAATCTTGTTTCTAGCAACAAGCAAACAATGAGCAGCAAGGCGTTGGAAACCAAGGATCTAGTGGCCAAGTGTGGCAAGTGAGAGAAATGAGCACAGCAATAGCAGAGCCACCTGCATGTGACTTGCCCTGTGGTCTTAGGCAATTAATATTTTAGTGAGAACCACCATTTATTTACATTATGATTCATTACTGTTAATGAATCGAAATGTAAATATCTGTGTTTTCCGATGGTCTGAGGCTCTACAACAGCAGCTCTCAACCTGTGGGTCACAACCCACAGGTTGAGAACCACCAGCAGGGTCGCCTAAGACCATTGGAAAATACAGATATTTACATTACAATTCATTAACAGTAGCAAAATTGCAGTTATGAAGTAGCAACGAAAATAATTTTATGGTTGGGGGTCACCATAACATGAGGAATTGTATTAAAGGGTCGCAACATTAGGAAAGTTGTGAACCAATGATAGAGACTTAGTAAAAATTCTCTGTGTTTCTCTTACAAAACAAGACCAGATTCAAATCTGGCACTCCTGTTATTGTAAATAAAGATATTTACATTATGGTCCAGTTGGCATGGCTTGATGGTTGAGCATTGGCCCATGAACCAGGAGAGCACAGTTTGATTCCAGGTCGGGGCACGTGCCTGAGTTTGAGGCATGAAGCCCAGTAGAGAGTATGCAGCAGGCAGCCAGCCAATCAATGATTCTCTGTCATCATGGGTGCTTCTCTCTCTCTTTCCTTCTCCCTTCCTCTCTGAAATCAATAAAATATATTAAAAAAAAGAATTATGGGACACAGGTAGGCTTATTTGTTAATATTTTCTGGGGCTATATTGCCTGGCAACAACAGAATTGAGACACCATTTAGATCACAGAATCTCTGATTACCAGGTGTCACTCAGGTTTGAACACTATTCTGTAGTGTGGGTCTCTAAGACAATGTAGAAAAAAGTGATTTTTTTTTTTTTACATTTATATTACTGTTGTTCAAGTGTGCTTCCTTTTGTGAGAGGAGAGTTAACCTCTATGCCACCACTAAGCCTTGTTATTTTAGTTTTAGGCTACTGCCTTTGAAAACTGTGCTTCATATATTCATACCTAGGGAACTATATTTTAAATGTATATGCTAGCTTGCTACCATCCCTTTTCCATTCTTTTGAATGGGCAACATTTTTTTTTTTTTTGCTTGTTCTGGTACAACAAGTAAGTTTTCTTTCCCATGAGGTGTTCTGAACTATTTTCTAAAGCTTAAGTTCAGTTACTTAAAATACATTTTCTTCTATTATAATTTTATCTCATTTTATTTTTTATGCTCTTAGTTTCCATCATTGTTTAATTGTTATCACCAAAGTTTCCTTCCAGCATTACCTTCTCACTTCTGTTTTTGAAGTTATTTGTCCAATATGACTTTATATCTTTAAGATCACTACACTTTTACTTTTGTTTTTGATGATGTCATTCAATATTATTTCTTATGTTTCACACCTTTCAAATGGACTGTTTTTACATCAAGATTTTATCCAGTCTGTTACATAGCCTTTTGCTTTTCTGGATCATATGCTAGTTGCTAAACTATAATCATTCTATCAAATTGTCCAAAAAATGTTCCTTTCAGATGAACATATGAAATATGTTTTTAATTCCATCAGGATACAAGCAAGTAAAGCTTTGCCAGATAAATAAAATAGAACTCATGGCATTTTTATGGTAGTAGTGTCCTTTTCTGAGAATTCATTCACTCATTTTGCGATTGTTATTGCAGGTACCATGTGGATATTGTAGTTACAAAGATTTCTGGGACTCAGTGTTTCCCAACTGCGGAACTATTGACATTTTGACTGATTACTTCTTTAATACAAGAGCCTAGTGTGAGCTTTGTAGAATGTTTACCACATCCCACACAGTCTACACTTTGAAAGACTTATTTTCCAAATGGGAATGACCTTTAAATGAATAGTTACTTCACAGGGTGATAAGTGCTGGGATAAAAGTATGTATAGATTGCCATAAGAGCTAAAAAAAAAAAAAAAAAAAAAAAAAAAAAAAAACAACAACAACAACAAAAAAAGAACGCCTAGCAGTTGAGTAATTAGGGGAAACTTCAAGAAGAGCTGACATTTCCGCTGCGTTTTGTAGAA